GCGAGGATGGAGGGTGTCCTGGCTCGACATAATAACTACGAAGAACCTGATGAATCTTGGCTACTGCTTCAGAGCACTAAGGTTTTGCGACGCAATTTGCGACCTCGGCTTTGCTGGGGCGCGATGCCGGGCAGACTGTGACAGCAACGCTCGGAAGATCACGCGGACCTTTTGCAGGTGTGGCCTCTGCTCCGAGTATCACCTGCTTCAGGAAACTGAGGACGTTGGCCTCTTGCACTTCCGCGCGCACGCAATCACGGAGGTCCGGCAGAACAGCGAGGAATCCAGCGAGACTCACTGCAAATGCCGAACCTGAGATAGCAAAAAGTTTGTAAGGCTTTGTAAGGTCTTTGTCGTGTCGGGTGGTCGCATGATGCAGCATGCAACAGCGCTGATGCAAGGAAGCCCCTCCTACTACTGCAGGAAGATTTGCGACGATGGCCTGCGGTGCAAAGGGGATCGTGAGTTATCTTGCATAAAGGGCTGCATGGCAAAATTCTCGGACGTGAAGAACATTCTTGAGACCTATGAGGAAAGCTGCCCAGATTGCAAGGCCAGTTGCCCATCTCACAACATGGGTATGTACAGTAAATGATGGGGTTTCCTTAGTAATCGTAACTTCCGTTAAGTTGCAGAAGGCTGTACTGGGTGCCTTGGCAGGTCAGAGGTCCGAAGGACGATGATGGCAAGAAGCGGGACACAGCTTGCATATCAGTTGATAGCGGTTCACGGCGGGTCTGTTGTCAAGACTGCTTCAAACCCAGAACCCGTAAAGGATCAACAAAATGGAGCCTCCTTGTAGTCCCCTAGATTCCCCAATGTAGTAGCAGGATCATTTTTGGGAGGGCTCTATGCTTTGGATCCTTTCTGAGTTGTTGCTAAGGAATCTAAATTAACTTACCATAATATGGGTAGATAGTAAATAGTAGGGCTTTCTGTACAGTAGCAAGTTGATTTAAGTCCCTTAGAAGCAACCCAGCTGTAAGGGGGTTGGGAAGAAAAATTATGACCTTCTCACCCTTGGATCTTTAGCATGCCTGCAGCTATGTAGTGACTAATGCCTTCATGCTAACAGTAAGTCCCCGGCACCAGCTACACTAAACCCTTTTTTGATTTTCCCTTGAGGAGACCTGGTGCATTGGGGGACATACTTAATACTAGGGGTTCGAGGGTGTGTTTGATCTTTGTACAAAAAGGTTATGTGGGGTCTAGGAGTATTACCGCACTGGTGAAGAAATTTTGGATGTTTCCAGAATGCAAGGTCCTTCAAGAGGGGTATACAAGGGTATATAGGAATATAGAAGGATGACATGGGGAGCATGCATGGTTTAGGAGAGTGTATCCACAAATTCCTGGAGTTTGGTGTCCTTTCAAACGGATTTATGGGGGGTATATATGGATATCTAAGGATGTAATAGGAACTATATAAGGTTGAGAAGTTTACCCCGACAATGGAGAATCAAATGGAAGCAAGCAACTCGGATTACGTGGAGGGGTATGAGGTTGAGGGATTTCATATAGCCGCACAATATGAAGAGGGATGTTCTGCTCTGTTTATGTGTGTAGATTTGGAAGTTGGTTGGCACGGGAATGCTACCAGCCAGTTTGCAGTGTTGATGTTTAGGGTCGGGGGTTTTAAGTTTATAGTCACCCTAAATTAGATAGAATATGGCTTTGGGTATACTTTCATAAAATCCTCATATACCCCATATTCTATCTACTTAAGGGGGACTTTATGGTTCTGTGATTCCAGACATTAGCCTCATTCACTGTGCAGGACGATGATAAGAAGGACGACGACAAGAGGAACAAGGACAAGTTGTGATGTTTGCGGCCACGGCATTTGTATCCAGTGAGGGACAAACTGGGATTGAGCTGCATATATAATCCCTGTAGTTTCCATTTTCTTTTGAATAGTCCCTATAAAATCCCAATATATACCCTATAATCCCTACATATACCCTTTATAATACAAGGAAGCGAAGATGAAGTAGCGATTGCCAAGCTTTTGTTTTTTATCTGCAACTGTTGCTAAGTTGGTGCCTGGGGACTGTGACTAGTTTGCTTGTAGACTGTCATACTTGTTCGGTCTTGAATTTGCAGGTATTGCAGGTAGTTCAGGGGAGCGAGGAAATCTGGTTTGCTTTACTTAGCTGCAGGACGACGATTTCTGGGTGCGTCGGCGAAAGGACTGCAACTTGGGATTGACAAAAGCTTCCAGTCAGCACGGGCCAGTGCCTCGATTGACAAGGGCTGTAGCAAACGACCATTTTGGAGCCGGTCGTTCTTGCTTGCAGACCACGGCAGGGCGTGTCCTTTTGCTTGCAAGGAAGCTCGTATCAGAGTCTTGATACTTATGTTGGTCGCAGGACGATGATGGCTGGCTGCGCCGCCGAAAGGACTGCATTGTGTCAACGCCAATTCTGTGCCTTCTGACATTTTGTGTTCAATGTCTAGGACGATGATAAGAAGGATGACGACAAGACAAGCAAGGACAAGCGGTGATTTCAACAACTGCGGCTTTGTGATCGCATCCATTTGCGTTCGAGAGCGTGAGACATTAGGTTTCAGGTGCAGAAGATGAGGTTGCGACTGCCAAGCTTCTGACTTTTTTCTGCAAATGCTGTTGCCAAGTAACTGATTGGTTATTGAGACTGATTTGCTTGTAGCTGTTTTTTTTCAGCTTTCAGGCTTAGAACTGTCCCGCGTTTCAGGTAGGTTCTGTGGAAGAGATCAGAAAAATCGGGTTACTTGCATCTGGTTGCAGGACGACAACGGCTGGATGCGTCGACGAAAGGACTGTAATTCGGGATTGATAAACCCTTGCAATCAACACGGGCCAGTGCCTCAATGGACCCCTGTAGGGCGTGTCCTTTTGCTTGCAAGGAAGCTCGTATCAGAGTCTTGATACTTATATTGGTCGCAGGACGATGATGGCTGGCTGCGCCGCCGAAAGGACTGCACCTCGGGATTGAGTAAGCACTTGGATGATTCTAGTGGGAATGTGGAACCCTTTATCCTCAATAATGGACATGAGCGTAGTGTGGCCTAAGCAAAGATCATTTTTTGACTGGAGTGGTCATCGTATCGAGAGGCTGAGAGTGATTCCATGCTTCGTGGCAGTTGCTTCATCCAGTGTGAATGATGGCCATGATGATAATGATGAGAAGGACGACGACAAGATGAAGAAGGACAAACTGTCACGTCAGCGCTGCTGCTTCTGCAAGATGAGAGATACACGTGAGATTTCTGAAGGAGCGTAGCAACAAGAGAGGCACGGCTAAGGAAGCACAGGAGATCAGCAACAAGCCTTTCTGCCGCGAGGATGACGACGATGACAGCTCGTCTCGTCGCCGGCGCAAGGACCGTCTGGGAGTTGCTGCGGTGCAGTGGGCATTGCCTCATCTTTCAAGCTGCACTTCTCTTGACTTGTTGTGGCGACCAGGATGATGACGGATCACGGCGCCGACGCAAGGACCACCTGTGCATCATTAGGCTGTGCACACATTGAGTTTGGATTCCATTGACATGATACAGGAACTGGGGTTGGAAGCACTGCTGTTCCCGTCAATACTACTTTAGTTGTTGTTGTTGTTGTTACTAAGAAATCCTGCATGACCTTGTTATACCACAGTATCAGAATTTCCAATGTATGAGGTACTTCGGGTCATGCTGGAGTTTTCGTATCCACCTTACGGTTTAGGATTTAACCCAGACCCATGATTTATGAACCCCCTCCCCTTAACAGGGATTATAATAGGGATCCTAATATTTAGGCCCTGACAAGGAGGCGGTTCATTAATCATGGGTCTACATTAGGGGGTTTGGGTTTAGGGTTTGAACACCCAATACAATCCCAGTTTCCATGTCTTCTTCCATTTTCATTTCCATTTGATTCCCTAGAAGCCCTATATAACCGCATTTTTTTAGTATCCCCAATACTATTATTACTGGTGGAGTCGCACACCGGCAGCGAATGCCTGCCCACTAGGAAATTCGCCTCTGTTGTTAAGGTTTAGGGTTTATGGCGTTTAGGGTATTCACGTGAGGTCTGCGTTGCTTTGTCTTTTTTAAATCTTGGCCCCATTTGGTAGTCTCGCAAAATAGGGGACCCAAATAACCCAAACCCCCTAATGTAGACCC